GATTGAGTCCTGGGTAGTGTTGTCTTTTATGGTAATCTCTGGCTGTTGTTGATTCTCAGTGTAAAAAACACCCTTTAACATTTTTTTGGTAACGTTAGTCTGGTCATTACAAATTCCTTTCATTTCTGTTTATCAAGAAATGTCCAAATTTCACCATTGTAACTGAGGGACAGCTTTGCTGGATACGTTTCTTGGTTAGCAAAGGTTTTACTTTCAGAGCTTTGTTTATGTCATCTCCATTGCCTTCTTGTCTGCATGGTTTCTGCTGAGAAATCAGAGCTTAGTCTTATTGGTTCCCCTTTATAGGTAACTTTTTGGTTCTCCCGGGACGCTCTCAGGATTCTTTCATCATCTTTGATTTTGTAAAGTTTATACTATGTCTTGGTGATTTTTTTAGGATCTAATCTGCTTGGGGTTCGTTTAGCTTCATGTATGCTTATCTTCTTGTTAAGGAACTATCTGTAAGTTGTTCTTCTTCATGGTGTCCCACAAAAACTCTTAGGCTTTCTTTGGATATTTTCATTCTTTTTTCTTATTGTTCTTCTAGTAACTAGTATTGAGATATTTATCTTCAAGCTCACAAATAAGGGCTTCCATTGCTTCACACCTACTCCTTTGTCCTTTCAATGCACTATCCATTTCTGACATCAGCATTAAGCTTCTGGATTTCTAACAGCAAGTTTTATATTATTTCAAAATTAGCATTTATTTTGTCTGTTTGTTCTTGTAGTGTTTTCCGGAATTCTTCTCAAGTTTTTATTGTGCCCTCCTTGCTTTCTTTGATCCATGGATCCTCTGAAGGTACCTAATTAATATGCTTTTGAATTTTCAGTTAGTTCCATTACCTTTTCTTTTTCAGAAACATTTTCTGGCTCTGCATCTTGGTCATTTGAGTCATTCTCTCTTATTGCTTCATGTGAGCTAAAATTGTCTGCTGTCTCTGGGATATTGTCAGGTTGTCATATTCATAAGAACAAACAGTGCAGTTGTTGGATCTGGAGGGACGAAATCTCTGGTTGGCCCCTGCATTTCAACGAACTCATGAGATGGTTGTGGAAGGGATGTGACCACAGAGTTCCTGACCCTAGATGGAGTTCCTATTGGCTTTAGTGTTACCTGTGTTCCTATGTTCAGGGCACTCAATCTAAAAGTAGTTCAGATGGGCCCTTGATGGAGCAGGTTTTAGAATCTGTCAGGACAACAGGGAAGCTGAGGGAAGGGTGACTGGTTAAATGCTGGTCTGGTGGTTCTGTGAGTTTTGTAGGTCTGGAGCCAAGCCCACCTGAATCCAGTCACCAAAATGGCACACCAAAGCAGCATAGCCATCTCCCAAACACATGGCTCCAAATGCCAGAGAGCTAGGGGTGGATGAGATGGAAGTTGGCCACAACTCTAGTCTCTAGGGGAGCATGGGGAAAAAGACATTGCACCTTCTCCACTGCTTTCACAAGTCTACTCTGCCAGGCCTCCCTTTGCTGCCAAAGCTGCTCACAAGATGGTAGCGCTGCATCAGGCCAGCCCTTCACCAGTCAGTCTTCCTCTCTCATCATCCCTGCTTATCCTCTCCTCCTAGAAGCATGCCATTCACCTTTCTTCTGAAGTTCAGGGTGCCAGAATTTTCTTGTGCCTTTTTTATCTGGTGTCTCATATCTTTGTTGTAGAGGGTCCATGTAGTGTGTCAGCATAGTCAGCCATTTGCCACAAGTCAGTACCAGTCATTCTTGATCTTAGACTACCTCTTGAAATAGTGAACATCAACTTTTTGTTCCAGTATAGTCCTTCTTTCCTTCTTCCTAGTCTGTCTTAATCTGGAAGCTCAGATGAAATCTGTCTACTAGGGGTTACCCTGCTGGTTAAAAAAATATCAGTGGCATAGATTTAAGCATTATAGTAACATGCAAGTCACCACAGTCTCACAAATTGACAAACCAGTGGTGGTGTAAAGCATATAAACTAGGTAAAAGGCAGGATTCAGACTTAATCACAATGTTATATTTTTTAATATTCAGGATGTTTCCTGGCTAAGTTAATAATAATTTATAGTAATTATACCTAAATGTTGTTGTTGTCAGTAAGTATTGTTCAGTTGGTTCCGAGACATAGCAACCCTGTATAGGGTTTCTGAGGAGCCGTTGGTGACCTTGAACTGCCAACTTACAGTGCAAACTGACTTTGCAATCCAGTGCATTAACCCATAGTGCCACCCAAGTTTTAATTTTTCAACATCCACCTAAATATTTTTCAAAGTTCACTAAGATAAAAAGTGTATTCTAGAACCAGTCTCTTATTCATTTCTTGTTTCTCAGGGAAGCAATTTCAATCAACAAAGAAACTGTGATTCCTATACATTAACACATTAATCCATTACATTTAGCTAGCACCATCACCCATAATTTTCTTCATTTCATTTAACTCACCATGTGTAAGTGAAGGGATTTTGTAACATCTAGCATGCTAGAATCAAGTAACATTAACAATTTTCTCCGAATATCAGCTGCTTTAAATGACACTGTATTAGTCTGGGCAGTAGTTACACACATACACAAGAACTTGAGCATGTCTAAGAAAAGTAGATCTTGCTTTGACAGATATTCTTCTGCTAAAGGGTTCATGGCACCTAAAAGTAAAAAGTACTCATTAAGAAAAGAGGAGTATAACATCTACACATATCGAAAATAACTCAAACACTCTACCCTTTACAAAAGCATAGATATGGAATTATTTGAAAAGAGAAAATCTGGTGAAAATGATTAATACTAAAATCTTCAAAACTTCATGAAAGGTTATCCAGGATTCTGCTATCAAGAAATAATTCAGAATTTGGAAATATCTACAAGTAGTCAATGTAATAGGTTTATCAGAATTGAAATAGAAAACAGTAGGGTGGGAAATAGAAAGGAAACTAAATTTCTGATCATAAAAAATGTCTAAGTACATTATGTTGACTGAAATATTATGAAACTATTTTAAAAGGTATGATTATCAATATAAGTAGCTCCATGAAAAAAATGCTTATAATTAGTGCTAAAGAAAATAAAGAAGCTATAAAATGGTACATGAATGTTGATGTTGATTACAAATTTGAAAGGGTCTATGAATAAGAGGAAAAGGCTAGAAATAATGGCAACATGGGTATTCTTTCCTTCTCCTGTTCTCATTTTACAAATCTGATAATATTTGTTTAATAGTTATCTTATATTCCTCCATGAAGAAAAGCATTAAATTCAATTAAAAACCAGAGAACTCTAAATTATAGAGCAAGAGAAAATCCTAATAGACTGTTCTACTAAAGAATGAACTAATTATATAATTGCTATTAATAAGGCCTCTTTTAATGGCAAATTGATACAAAGAGGTAAAATAAATCCCAAGTAGTAAATATGTGTATATATTTACCAGTAGTACTCTGGCTCTCTCCAGATTCATTTGCATCAATGACACTATAAGCAGGGTGATCATCAAATAGATTCTGGGGTGACTGATTCTCCACTTCCATTAGATTTTCATCAGTGTCATCTTCCACTGACTCTACTTCTCCATAATCAAATGGTTTTTTGATAAAGAATGCCTTCAAAAAAGAGAAACAAACAAGTTCTTTTTAAGTAAGCTTCATTGTAGTTAAAATTTTCTGAATCAAATAATTCAAAATTCAAGTATAAGTATGACTACTGCAGTATGGTATCGAGTGAATGCCAAACACAGGGAACTAATATATACATTGCAATGTGTCTCTAATGGAATAATATGCAAGCTTTAAAAATATTTTTTTATATATTAATAAGTTGTGTAATACCCAAAATTGATGAGGGGTAGAAAGAAGTATAAATTGGTATGACTATTTCGGAGGACAACAGCCATCAAAATGTAACATTCACATTCCTTTTGAATAAGTAATTCTGTTGCTAGAAATTTATCCTATATCCTTCATATGTTCAAATGGAAGTAGTCAAAATAAAAGTATTTTATAAAAATAAGAACTTGTACTGAATAACTCTTTATAGTAAAACTAGAGGCTGAATTAAATAGAAAACTAATCTAATCTTCTACTTCATTATGTTTTACTGAAAAAAATACATCAGGTACTATTAGGCATCATTATAAAGAAACAATAAAGTGTATTTCCCATCTAAAACCAAACTACTTTATTTAATTGCCATACTTTGAGATGCCGCACAATTTAAGATAAAAGGTGAATTCAAAAAAATTCGTGGAAAAATTCTGTTATCTTTCAATTCCATTTCTCCACGAACTTTTTGAAGTCCACTCGTATTCAGTGTGAAAAGATATACAACTTAGAACCAATGAATATGGTAATAAAACAGGAAGCATACTTACTAAACTTTTACAAATATCTGCGATGTCATTCATTAGCTTTGATGTCAGCAATCTCAGAAAAAAGCCAGATGCAATCTTATTTGGACTGTGCTATAGTTAAAACAAATTAAATGAAAACACAAAGAAATAAATAAAAGCAGAGGAAAAACTATCCTTAGACAGGTATTTTCTCTATTTTGAATGAAATACAGATTTCTCTCCTACATAGGAAGTTAGCTGTTACAAGAAATATGATTAAAGAGTTTCATATGTAAAGGCCAAGATTATTAGTTGTAAGAAAAAGATTCTTTTCTTATGCTTAAACAGCATTAAATAAAACATCAGATAATGACCCTACACATATCTAACTAGTAATTAAAGATTCTTTTACTCTACTTACACCAAAAGGCAGAAAACACTTTACAAAACCAAAAATATATGCTGAGAACATTGATATATGCCTTAACATTAACTTATCAAAAATATGTCTAATTATTATCAATATTCTAACTCTTAATTATGTTCCAAATGATCAAAGATTACAATTCTTATAATCAACATAATGTGAGAGTATCTGGGCACTCCGGTAATAACGTGTGTGCTGGAGTCATTTATCTTGGTGCTGCTCACTAGCCTTGGTATACACGTCACGTAAGCATTAGTCAACAAATTTTTTTAAAACTTTTATTGTAAATAAATGAAAATAAGCTGTCAGTCATCTAGAAAATTGTATATGAAAGATGCAAAAATTTCAGAGACCATATGCAGTGATTTAATTAGCTTCATGTGAAACTCAGATTACCTATTGTTTTATTCTTCTCGATACTGTCTTTATGTACTATTCAATTTAAGTTTAATTCAGCATAGAAATTACTGAATGAGCCAAACATAATAACAACAATACCACCAACCAGTAATCACACCCCTGGAGAGGGCATACTATCAAGTAAAAATAGTATCTTACCTTGGTACAGTTGCATAAAGAACTTGTACACAGAAGCATCATATTTCTCAATGAACCAATTCTAGATTCCTCATTTATCTTATTTTTAAACAGAGTGATACTTTCTCCTGCACATTGCATTAAGGACTATTGAGAATAGAAGAAGGAAAATTCAAGTTCAGGTTAATATCAGGTTTTACTAATAGCTTTTCAAAATTTCACTTAGCAGACAAAATTAAGCCATTTTAGGAGTTGTTGTTGTAAAGTACTGTCAAGTGGGTTCTGACTCATAGTGACCCTGTATAGGGTTTCCAAGGAACAGCTGGTGAGTTTGAACTGCCAACCCTGCAGTTTAAACCAACCTTGCGGTCCAGTGTTTATCTTACAGGATACATGATATAATTTAAAATTACAAATAATATAGAAAATGGCAAATTTTGAGCTGTGCTTCCCCACCAATCACAACTATGACCAATTAGTATCCAGAGACCAAAAACGAAAGTTCATGTTATAGCCTACTTGATCAATACGCAGTTTAGGACAACCAATCAAATGCATACACATGACAAAAACCACCATTATTGTTCACAAAATGAAATCTGACTGTGAGATGATTTCAATTACTATATTGATGTTTTGTGCTGTCAAGTCAGTTCTGACTCACAGCTATACCTATATAAGACTTTCCGAAAGCTGCTGGTGGGTTTGAACTGCAGAAATGTGACTACCAGTCCAGTGCTTATCCTATAGGGCCATACCAAGACTCTGACTTAATATAATTTCAGGTCATCAGGAAGGACATAGCTATCATTTCTTCTCAGACTAGCTGAATGAAAGAGAAAAGGGTAACCTATACAAAATTTTGCTTCTGAAACAAATATACCAATTATCCCAAGACCAAATTCCATTCAAGTATCCAAAATTTCACTAGCATAAATTCTCTTACCTTGGCTTTCTGAAATAATTCTGATTTATAAGCTTCTTCTTCAGCCATTATACCCACGTAGCAATAGCAGCCAAGAACACCGACCAAAAGACTTGCACTTCTGACAAGCACTTCTGAATTTGTAGTCTTAATGTACATAAGGGGAAAAACAAAACATATTTCATAAAGATTGGGATATTCTATAATTATCTTTTGAGAAAACATATTTTATGAGCATGTTAAGAAACAAATGTTTAGTTAATAGAGTTAGCAATGGCATTATTTCTGAATATCTCTAAAAACTCCAATTATCTAAAAGATCATTGCAGAATTATAACCAGGCCTCAAAGGAAAAATAGCAAGAATGTCTGCTATTGCCAAGTAAACTATCTCCTCTTAAGGTGGCATAGTTACCAGTGAATACTTGGGATAGGGAGGCAAGGGGGGAAAAAACTGACAGGCAAAGAAATGTCTCTAAGCCTTAGAACTCTTTAAAGTATTCAAGAACAAAGATATCAGTTTGAGAACTAAATTGTGCCTGATCTAAACGAGAGTACTTTCAATGGCTTCATTTGCATGTGAAAGTTGTACTATGAATAAGGAAGACCTTAGAAGAATTGATGCACTTGAGTTATGACATTAGAGAAGAATACTGAAAAATCAGCAATTGAAAACCCATTGACTGCCAGAAGAACAGCCAAATCTATCTTGAAAAAAGGACAGCCAGAATGTTCCTTAGAAGTCAGGATAAGGAGCCTTCATCTCTCATACTTTGGACATGTTATCCGGAGGGACCAGTCCCTGGATAAAAGGACATCATTCCTGGCAAGTGGAGGATCAATGAAAAAGAGAAAGATTCCCATAGAAGTAGATTGGCACAGTGGCAGCAGCAGTGAGTTCAAGCTTAACAACAATTGTGAAGATAGCACAGAATTGGCAGGGTTTGTTCTGTTGTGCACAGGGTCGCTATAGTTGTAGTCGACTCAAGGGCACCTAAAAAAGAAACTTAACAAGTCTTAGAACAGAGTAGAACCCATTATCACTGAGTCAATTCCAATTAAGAGTGACCAACTATAAAACCACATTAAAATCATACCTTCAACTTCTAAAGTATAACCTTACCTTAGACAGTTTTTAAATTCCATACGCTAACCACCCAATGCATTTTTGCTAGTAGATAATGTTCATCCAGCTTTATAAATACACTAGGAATTTACAATGGCTTTACAAATGGACTATATTTTTAGGTTTAACTTTGGTAGCATAGTGGTTACGAATCAGGCTGTGAACCGCAAGGTCAGCAGTTTGAAACTACCAGCTGTTCCATGGGAGAAAGATGAGGCTTTCTGCTCCCGTAAAGGTTTACAGCCTCGGAAACCCTGTACAGGGTCACTATGAGTCAGAACCAACTCCATGGCACATAACAACAACATACTGTCGCTGTGGGTTAATGCATCAGACTGTAAAGCCGTTTGAACTGCAAGGTTGGTGATTTAAGCTCACCAGCTGCTCCTTGGAAACCCTATACAGAGTCGCTATGGGTCGGAATCAACTCGATGGCACCTTATGACAATTACTGTAGGGAATGAAATTTTGTAGAAAATAATAGATTTTTTTATTGTGATCCAGAATAACGTCAGTAACTGAGGATAAAACATCAGAAGCAGGTAGATTTTTTTTCCCTTTCTGATTTTTCTAGGTCATTATCCCTGACTACTGAATTATCTTTTTAACATTCCAAAATGCAAAGGCATTTCTAACCTTTTGAAGTTACAAAGTCATCTTTTTTTTTTAATGTTTTATTGTGAATTATGTGATAGTTTACATGGGAGAACATTAGCTTTATATTCTTCCTATTGTATATCATTTCACTGCCGTGGTTACAATTCTCTCCACGCATCATCAACCAACCAAAGGGTATACACGACAAGCCTACCCCCGCCCCACCCCCTCATCGTCAGCACACAGCCCCTCTCCCTCTCTGGGGCTAAAGTCTCCAGCCGCTCCATCTCTCCACGTCACTGTCTCTGCCTCCATCTCTGACATCACTGCTTCTCTAGATAGGATTCCACTCTCCACTCTTCTCCCTTGATGGTCCCAGGACCTCTGCTCCTAGACTGCAAAGTCAATCACTCCCCTCTATTTGCTACAAAACGTCTACCTTTACATTTACAACACTCACAATCAGTCCTCATAACTATTTGAAAATCAACAAATGGCTTTTCATTTACTATGCAATATGAGTCCCTGAGCATTGTAAACCGTTAACATGCTCTGCTACTAACTGAACATCAGGCTGCTTGTGTCTGCCCAGAAGTGCCTAGAAAGAAAGGCCTTATGTTCTACTTCTGAAAAATAAGCAACTGAAAACCCAACAGAGAGGTTCTTGGGTAAGATCACAGTGTAGCAGATGCAGTGTGCAGACCCTCTATAATACAGACATAGGAGACCAAGTGAAACAGCTACAGATGGTTATCCTCAAACCCTGAGCTTCGGAGAATAGGGCAGAGAGATGGCTGAATGTCAAATGGAACAGGAATAGCAAGAAAAAAGAAAACCGGGCAGAATATAGACTGGCCAGGAGTTGTGCGGCCATCTTCAGCTTTTTCAAGTGGCTACTGGTACAGTGGTGGTTATGTGCCGTGGAGTCAGGTCCGACTCATGGTGACCTTGCACAGAGTTTGTGAGGCTATAAATCTTTAGGGGAGCAGAAAGCCTCAGCTTTCTCCAGTGGAACAGCTGGTAGTTTCCTGGTGTGGCGCTGTGGGCTAATGCGTCAGACTGTAAAGTCGTTTGAACTGCAAGGTTGGTGATTCAAGCTCACCAGCTGCTCTTTGGAAACCCTCTACAGGGTCGCTATGGTTGGAATCGACTCGAGAGCATTTAACAACAACAAGTGGTACAGTGGCATGTGGACACAGGATGAGACTGGAGGCTGGCAGCAAGGGAGGTGCAGTTCTCCCTTGTTCCTGTGCCCTTCAGGTAGATGGGGCCGTGGCCAGTTCCAGCCTTTGCCAACCCAGCAGTCAGTGGCAACCCCCACCTGTGCACCCTCTGCTGTGCCTAGGTTCAGGTCACAGGAATACCACCCTGCTTCTGGAAGTATTGAAGCTGCCCTGAATTATGCTACACAAACAGCGAACAGAGAACTATGTGCACGCTTCAAGTCTCTATCACCTCCACCAGTAGAAAGGTGGATAAGTGCCTGACAACACACCAATATACAAGCATCAATTAAATATAAATATGATTATCTTGACTAATTGCAACTAAAAACAAAACAAATGAAAAACTGAAAACCAAGTAAAATCAGCAATTGAAAGATTAATACTAAAATTGTAAAGGTAGAAGTTTTGTAACAAAAATGGAGGAGTAGTTAATCTTACAGTCCAGAAACAAAGGACCCTAGGGCCATCAAGGGAGAAGAACACAAGCGGAATGCAGGACCTTATCCACAGAGAAGCAGCGGCACAAGAGATGGAGGCAAAGATGGGAACATGGAGAGTGGGAGCAGCTAAGGACTCTAGATTCATGCAAAGAGAGGGACTAAGAGCTAGCAGCCAGAAGGCAGGCTTTCAGAATGTGCTCTTTGGTAGTGTAAATTATTATATATGCCTGAGTGTTTAAAAAAAAAAAAAAAAAATGAGGTAAAGTAAATAGAAATACTGTTAACTGATGGTACATGGAGGGGATTATAATAGTAATGAAACAAGGTGTACAATTTGTTGAATGTAAAATTTATAATCTGCCCTATAAACTTTCACTCAACTCATGATAAAAACATATATATATATATATGATGCCACAATGTCTCCAATAAAATAGATGATTTTAGTTTGCACAAAGAAATAAGATAAACTGCCTCAAACAAGGGGCCAAAATACAGGCTCAGAAAATATAACATCAGAAATGGTATTGGAACGACTTGATAAGGAATTTTAAGAATGATATTTAGGTACTTTCAACAGATTGAGAGAATGGACAAGAAAACTAAATGAAATCAAGAAAAACACAGACAAAACTTTACATGAATTCAAGAAACAAACTGACAAAACAAATGAAAAACTGAAAACCAAGTAAAATCAGCAATTAGAAAGATCATACTAAAACTTCAAAAATAGAAAATATATTGGAAGGACAAAGAAGAAGAACTGAATCAATGGAAGGCCAACTTAATGAACTTGAAGACAAATCTCTCAATGTGCATTTACTAGGGTCCTAGTGTGGCACTGTGGGATTAGCACTCTACCATAAGGTTGGTATGAACTGCAAGGTTGGCAATTCAAACTTACTAGCTGTTCCCCGGAAACCCTATACAATGTCAATGTAAGTTAGAACTAACTCTACAGCACTTAACAACAAGCACACTCAGAAAAAAATAATTTAAAAATCCAAAGAAAGACTTAGATTTATGTGTGAAACTGGACACAGTCCAGAAGGAGAATGCACTGGACTGCAAAGTCGGAGGTTCAAATTCATCAGCTGCTTCTTGGAAACCCTGATTGCTATGAGTTGGCACTGACTCAATAGCAGTTAACAACAATAGGAATGACTTACATGTGATAGGAACTCCAGAACAGAAAAAGACCAAAAAAAAAAAATCATAGAGCAAATTATCTAAGAATTGTTGGGAAAAAAAATCCCTAACATCATGAAAGATAAGAAGATAGCCATTCAAGAAGTTTAACCAACTCCAAACAGGACAGATCTCAAAAGAAAAACACAAAGACATATTATGATCAAACTTTTCAAAACCAAAGACAAGGAAAGAATCGTTTTATCAACTCAGAAAAAATGAAGTTACCTACAAAGAAAAACCATGCAGGCAAGATGACACTAGGAGGATATATATAAATTTCTGAAAGAAAAAAATTGCTAACCAAGAATGATATATATACCCAGTAAAATTATCTACCAAATATGACAGTGAAATTAAGACATTCTCAGATAAACAAATGAAAAGAATTTGTAAAAACCAGACTAACTTTTTTATAAAAATACTAAAGGGAGTTCTTTGGACAGAGAACCAACAACAGCACACAACTACCTGAGACTAACAGACATGACAGGATCACCTAGAATTCAACCCAGATATAAAAGTATTCAAAGTAAAACAAACCCATAAGACTTAAAATAGGGAACCAGAGATACCAGTTGCAACAACAATGAAACATAAAGTAAAAAGAAGTAATAATATAAAGAATCTCCAGATGAAGAGAAGTCAAGTAGATTTCAAGAAAAAAACTAAACAAAATTAAACCTAACTGTAGCCCTAAACTACATTAAACCTTACTCCTAGTTTTAGTCCAAGCCCTACCCTTAATATAACCCTACTTCTAACCATACTTCTAACCATACTTCTAACACTAAACGAAGTTCTAGGCCTAGCCTAGACTTAGCCATGGTGGTGGTGGTGGTGGTGGTGGTGTGCCGTGGAGTTGGTTCCAACTCACAGCGACACTGCCTTAGGGTTTCCGAGGCTGCAAATCTTTACGAGAGCAGAAAGCCTCATCGTTTTCCTGCAGAGCAGCTGATAGTTTCGAACTGCTGACCTTGAGGTTAGCAACTCGACTTGTAACCACTATGCTACCAGAGCTCCCATAGTCCTCACTGTAACTTCTTGCTCCTACTTGCCCTCCAAAATTTAAAGAAAAGAACAAACAAAACCCAACAGAGCAGAGTTCTTTCTACCCAGACACACACGGAGTCACCATATGGAAATCAACTGGACGGCAACCGATTGCCATGTACCAAGGCATCACAGATTAACAGGATTAAGCAAAATATAATGCCCTTTAAGAAGCTTAATTTTATAATGTAATAGAAATAAACATAAATATCCATGGTACAAAGAAATTACTAAGAGCCATTAAAAAAAAAATTCAAGTATCAAGTATTATGAAAGTTAACCTACGACAAATTATGACTGAGATAATCTAAAGAAGGCAATAGCAAGGATTTTGACAGGTGGATGGATGGTATGAACACAGAAAACAGGTAGAACGATAGTCATGTCAGTAGGAATGGGAGTTAATTTTGGCAAAAGAGAATTTTTATTTTAATGAGGGCAAATTACTGGATGACCTACACCAATCCTTTCCTCTTAAAAGTGCCACTAAAATCTATTACACCATGTTCTTTTCATCATAAAATCTCTACACTCAAAAATTGTTTAGCATCCCCCACAAACATACTCAAGAAGATTTCTTAAGTACAAAGAATTCTAAGTCTTCTATGTCTAACAGAATTCTTGGCACAAAGGAACAGATCCTTGGTTTTAAATTTTATACAGATCTTCACTTTAAAACTTTCATTCTAAAGGTATCCCTATTAGTAAACATGTATTTTCATTTTGCTTTTAAAACCAACCCTCTCACCATCCATGGTGCCTTTCCTACTCATTTCCCCCTTTTTTCCTTCCTAATAATCTGTCTAAAATTGAATCAAAGAGTAGCATTACTTCTTTTTTAAAAATCTCACCTCAGATGAGTAATTATTTAGAAGCTGTTCTGATAATGCCAGTAGATAGCGATCCAATGATTCCTTGAGATTTTGGTGGACCGAAAATCCAACATTGGATTGGTATTTTTCTACAGCACTTTCTTTCACATTGTTTAAAAAATCCATCTTATCAAAAGTTGTCTGAAGAAATAGTTCCTCTATTTCTGAGAATGAAGACTCTTCTTTACCTTTTTGATGTTGCTCACTTGAAAAAAGTAAGATCTTAATTTGTAATTAATCTATCCAATACATAACCAGAGATACATTAGGAATGAAAACATAACAACTGTATTATTCAAAGACTATTCAACAACTCATGGATTATTCTTTTCAATGTGTCTCCTCTGTGAATACCCAGTTGCCTCAAATTTCATTACTCTGTACTAAGTTTTACAAAGAAATAGCTATAATTTCAAAGGCAAATTCAGAAAGTATTAAAAATTAAACATTAATACAAGAATACTGAAACTAACAGCATTTGAAAATATTCCTTTTTCCAGCTTTAACTTCTCCAAAATGTAGGATCTTTTGAAATTTTTGTCATCTTATAAGAGATTTAAAGGAGCTGTGGCAGCAAATGGTTATTAATTGGTTATATACTGAATTGTTCAGCAGTTCGAAACTACCAGCTGCTCCGTGGGAGAAAGATGAGGCGTTCTGCTCCCGTAAAGATTTATAACCTTGGAAACCCTGTACAGGGTCGCTATGAGTCGGAACTGACTCCACGGCACATAACAACAACAAACATTAGCACCTAAGGAACTCTGCTAGTGTAGTGGTTACGAACTGGGTTGCTAACCTCAGGGTCAGCAGTTAGAAACTACCAGCTGTTCCACGGGAAAGATTTATAGCCTCGGAAACCCTATACAGGGTCGCTGTGAGTTGGACCCGACTCCACGGCACAAGCCACCACCATAAGAAATTTAAGATCCCTGGTGGCACTGCAGGATAGGCATTGGACTGCTGACTAAACTGTCAGCAGTTCAAAACCACTAGCCATTCTGCAAGGAACAGAGGAGGCTGTCTTTTCCTGTAAAGATTTACGGTCTCCAAGAATCGGAACCAATTCAATGGCAGTGGGTTGAGTTTGGTTTGGGTATATGAAAGATTACAAATCTGTACCAATGAGTCATTGGTAGAATACAGGGAGAATACATAAATAAGTCTTTTAAGTCAACTAACATAAGGTTTGTATATTTATTTTTGTTTTCTCTACTCTCAATAATCTTCAATTTTTAAGGCTAAAAAATAGTAAAATTTTACTTGTCATATAAAAGTGATTAGTCATACCTTAAACTCACTTCATATAATTTTGGGAAGTGAGTTTAACTTCCCATAAAATACACTCATTTCTTCCATTTGGCAAAAATTACAAATTATTCTATGTAGTATTAATAAACTATAATCCAGATGTAACATTATGGAAAACAGATAACAACGAGTAAATTAAAAGAATTTTTTCTGTGATTAACAGCTGTGATTTAAAAATTAGTCAATTCAGTATATAATAAATAGTAGGCTATAGTTACGATTCTGCTAAAATTATCACCTTTCAAAATAAAGCCATAGCTTCAAAATAATAAAGAACTTTATTATATAACATACCATTCTAGCACACTTTGGAAAAAGTTCATTGCAGCTTTACAGTTTTTCATAGTTAGACTCACAAGAATTTTCTCCAGTGAAAGATGAGGAAGCTTACTATAAAGGAAAAGAAAAAGTTTCACTTAAAACACCAAAAGTCATTTAAAGAATTCTTTAAACTTAAATGTGCTTGTTTGGCTACACACAAGTGAACCTCTAAAATCTGGATACTAAATTTAAATTCCTTTCATTTGTATTCAATTTTCAACATTTAAAAGAGAGCTTAAGGAACATTCACTGTTATTAACTATTTCCCACACTGTCTGGAAAACAGAATCAGGACCAGTCTGTTTTTACAAGATCACTTCTGGAAAAAAAGACAGTGATATTAAAGTAAAAGCACTATAATCCAGGTCTAATCATAATGTTCAAATTATGATCTGGAAACATCCATTCAATGGAAAGGTTAAATAAGCAAGGTAGATATTCCTATTCTGATTAGGGATTCAGGATCCATCTGAGTCAGATAATGTTTCAGATGAACCTATTTAAAGAAAATCACAAAGGAACATATATTGCTTAAAAAGTTATATATTCTTCATGCACTTGTCCCTCTTCTATCTGGACAGAATAAAAAAAAAGGATCTAACAGTGATCTAGACACGAAGTCACAGAACACTGTGAAAATGAAGAGAATGTTTAGTATTTACGGCTAGCACTGGAAAAGCAGCCTTAGTGAAACAACAATGAAACACTCAGAAGTTAACAAAAAAGTTGGTAGTTTGAACCCATCCAGTCATTCCATAGAAATAAAACCTAATGAGCTTTGTTGTTGTTTGCTGTTGTGTGCCATTGAGTCGGTTCTGACTCATAGCAACTGTGTATAGGGTTTCTGAGCCACTGACACTGCAGTTAGCAGTCCAATGCTTATCCTATAATAGACTCCTGAATGTAGATAACAGCCATGAAAACCCTGGGGGCAGTTCCAATCTGTGACATGGAGTTACTCTGAGCTACAAATTGACTCAAGGGTACCTAACAACAAGCAATGGCAAATCCTTGACTATCACTGTGCAAAAAAGTTGAGGGACCCTCACAAAGTAAATCAAAACAACAAGTTAAAGAACTGAACATACCTGTGAAGAATTGGAGACAGCTCTGTATTGTCTTCTAAGTCATTCTCTAACTGATAGAATAAGAGCCATTTCATTATCAATTCTCTTAATGAAAAACTTCTATTCACTTCACAAATATTTTGCTCTACTCCTGTTTCTGTTGTTTCTGGAATTACACATAAGGTCATTGCCACTGTCAAACAGCACACTGCAGGACTGCAACAAAACAAATAGCAACAGCTGTTAAAAGAAATCTCTGTGGAGACCAGAAACCTTAGCTAGCTTATTTACCACTCCGCCTCCTAAGCTTAGGATAGAGCCTGACACCTGAAGGCACACAGTAAATTTTTGTATACCTTTGGTTGGATGCTGTAAAAAGTCTAATTACCTTAGAGGAGATTATTGATTATAAACTAATTCTTATCATAATAGTAACCCAAAATAGTAAAAACAAAAAAAGTTTATGAATATTATACAATTAACTGTCCATTATAAAAGAAATTCAACCTCTAATAGTTTAAATTTTATTTTTAGTAATCTCTTCAATTTTAAAAATAAATTCACAAACAAATCTTTACAACGAGGATCATTCCCAGCCCTTGATACACAGAGTTGACAGGGATGGGCAACTTAGACATTGGCTACTCAAAATGGGGGACTACAAAAGCAAAAAGTGACTGACTTACAAGGTTTCAAAAGGGAGCCTAAACCCTTTCCAAGACTAAGACTCAATGGGAATACACGCTCTGATTGGTGACCATGCTGGTCACCGATTAGGGTAAGTGAGGGAAAAACAGCAATGAAGCTGTGAGCTAAGCCCTACCACACTCAACAGACTCCTATAAACCTGTGTGGAGACCTGGTGGGCCAGCATTGTGGCAAGACCTGGGGACTCTTGGACCCAGAGTCAGTGACATAGCCACAGAGGACTAGAGTGGAGAGTGAAGCATCCAGCTGATAAGAAGAGAGGGC